AGCTATTGTAAAATCCCACCCGATTTTAAACCTAAGAATTATTGTAAGAGACAAGAGATTTTTAAAAAATGACATTTTTTTCTACCAGTCTGAGAAACTCTACCTATGAAGTCTTATTTTTTAAAATGCAAAGTGTTATGTTTGGGAACAAGAAGGAGAGCTGTGTGAGTGAGTTCTGGATAGTGCAGTGTTAACAACTAATGTAAACGCTTCAGTTATACATATTGACTTTTCCTCCTTCCCTATTTCAACAAAGTGTTTCATGGTTTGAAAATCACATCTTGGTTTTAAACAAAGATAGCACCCTTAGAACCCTTCCATTTCCTGTTCCCTCCTCCTCTTGCTACCCAGCAAGATATTATTTGCCCCCAGGAGCATTTTCTCTTTATGTAGTATGATCCTAAAAGTGACGTCATTCGGACTTGGCAAGGCTCTGTGCTTGTTACAGGACCTCTTTGGTGCTGGTCACTTTGGGACTTTAAAAAAATGTTCGATATAAATGAAGCAACGAACTATCCAAATGTAATTCAGCCTGCTGAACATGACTACATCTGACATGTTGACATTGATTTATACTGGGGTTTTTCTTTCTTTTTCATAATTAGGCAAGGCTCAAGGAAAATGCTAGAAGTATTAAAGTTAGAAACTGATGATCATAATGCGTATGGTAAAAGCAAATTACCAAATCCAACCTAGAACTACACTTAAACTCCTGTTCTTGTACACAGGAGATAGGTTTTCCATCTCCTTGCCCCTGTAATCACAATCTGCTCTGTCAGTTTACACTCTGCAAAGGACAATGAGTCATGCTTGCTTATGAGACCGTGACACTAAAAAGCCAGCAGCACAGTGTAGAGACTGAAACCACCATACACCCTTTTACTGTGGCCTTGCTTTGCACAAAGTTCTGATCATTTCTGTCATCTGACACAGTCTTTGATTTAATGGGCAAAAATCCAGAAATAATTAAGACAGTGACACTACACACCCAACATGAAAAACATGTGGCATTTAAAGAAGAAATATTAGCAGCATGGAAAACAGTGATTCTGCATCTTAGAGGAGAAAAAAGAGACCTTAAAATCAAAAGCAACAGCATCAAGGACTTACTAAGGTCCTTGTTGGCAGAAAGGAAAAATTTACTAATTCATTCTTTTTTCCTGGTGAGATCTTGGGGGGTAGGAAAAGTTAAGACTTGAAAATTTTCCCAAATTTCCAACTTTTGCAAAGAATTATTTCTATCAAAACTAATTGCATAAAGTGAAATAAGAATTACCAAGGGGGACTATCTTTTCTGTTGAGTCTGACAGTAGAGCACGCATTATACTATTACTGCTCACTACTAGCCTTTTCGTGAACCCTGAAAAAAGCCTTTACAAATAATACAGTAGAAGCTTCATAATGTGTTTCCAGTTGTTTCTTTCTGTTAAATCTCTAACTCTATTCTGATTTCATCTCTCTGAAGACTTCTGGCTATTTGCAACATGAAGAAAGTCTTGTTTCTATAACTCAATGTCTTCATGAAAAACACAATCATAAAAGGCTATTTAAAATAAAAATGCTTATTTCTGAAAATTTGCTTTAAAATTGAAAGCACAATCTTCAATTCACCTCTTTTCCCTAGTATCTATTTCCATAGATTAATTCACAATCACTTTTCAGAAAACACTTTCCAAAAATTATTCCAAATACCTTGTTATACATAACTTCCTTGCTAACTATTGTCTAAAGCTATTTTTTTCTCAGCTGAACCTTCAGATCCTTCAAAGCTATTGCTAAACTCTCCTCCCTTGACTGACTATAATTACTTCTCATTGAGGTAATTTTTGAATGTTTCATGAGCAAAAATAGTGAAAAATATGTGCTATTTTACTAAAAATACCCACTTTGAAACAGCACTTCAGAAATGACAAAAAAAAAAAAACAACAATGAATGGTGTCCATTTCCTTTCCAGGTTTCCTGCTGCCCTGTGAGAAGTTGCCTGACACCCTGCTGCTGAGCTGTGGCTGGTTCTAGAATGACTTTCTAAGTAGTTTTTAGGGCAATTTAATCCAGCAAGAGTTTTATCAAATTTAGAAAGGCCTTACTAAAATGAGAAGTCATTTGCAGAATCAAAGTTCTCTTCAGAAGTCCTAAGAAAACCTAAAATAAATCCTTGAGACATCGTAGTTGAAAAATATTTGAAGATTGTTCACTTGAGTAAATACTTAAGCCTGCCCTCCCTCACTTTCTGCGGCCTGTAGCCATATTACTCACCCTCAAAGAATTCATCAATATTCAACTGGCTCTCTAATTTGCTGATGTAGCAAAAACAGTTTAATAAAGAAAGCTGTTGCAATTTTCTTTAGAGGACGTGCCACAAACTCGACTTTTATCTTATAGTACTGGAATCTTTTGCTGTTCTGTAAATCCAGATAGGGAAATGAATGCTTACATGCAGTTAGATGAACTCAAGCTAATTTACTCACGAAGTCGAGCCTTAAAAGCTCAGAAAAGCCTTTCACCCCAAGGACACTGGAGCTTTATAAATAATCTATCCGAGGATTTAGAAGCTTGTTCAGTCACGTCTCACAGCACGGCAAACTTTCAGCCCTGTCCACGAAGAGTTTTTAAGACTAACAGGGAAATTGTCTTTTAGGAATAAGTTTTTAGCGCCCACCGAAGGCGTGCAGGTTTTAAAACCTTTCCTGCAGTTTTAAAACTTTTCTTGAATCAAATTCTTGGTCTGTAAACTTGTCGGTTTAATTTTAAAAATAGCTGGAAGGCTCTACTGTCCCTCCCCCACCACCCACGTCTTTTTTTTAAAAAAAGGCGAAGACGCCAGCGAAAGGCCCTGCAGTACTTGCAACGCCTTGGGTCTGCGAGATCGCCTTTGCAAAGAAAATAAGATTTTGCATCAGATCTACAGAAACATTACAGTAAAATGCATGCGATCATTAAGTAGCTCAAGAAACTCCAGCGCCGAACACGGGGAAATCCGTGAAATCCGTGGTTTTATTTTTATATACTGATTTCGTGTGTATGTGCACGCGCACGCGCGTACGTGTGTGTGTGTGTGTGTGTGTGTGTGTGTGTGTGTCGCTACTTTCGGCACCTAAATTCCCCGCTCCCCACAGAGCCTACGCACGGTTCCACAGCACCTCACGCGCAGGGTTCGAGACACGGCAGTCTCGACCTCCCACGGGGAGAATGGGGGACACTGGCCTCAGTGGTGGCGTCAGGCATGCCGCTCAGCTCCCCGCGGCCCACCACTTGTTCGTCCATGGTACAGGCAGCCGGCACCCTTGAGCCAGCTAAGTCCAGAGTCGGACCGGGATGGCTGGGGGCCGCCAGGGCAGCCCCCTCCTAGGTCCAGTCGACAGCGCCTAGGCATCGTTGTTCGCCTGGCTGCCCACCTGCCTCGAAGACCCCCCAGGCCACTTTGGGCCTGGGTTCCGTGCCCAGGGCTGTGGCCGCTGCAGTTCAGCGCTACCCATTGGTCTTACCGTCCAGCACCCACACAGTTTGAGCCCTGTTTGCTTGCAGATTTGTTCCACCCGGGACAGGGAGAGAGAAGCAGCCACGTTCATATCCTTAGACAGTGTTTGCGCACAATTTTTATTATGATATTTAGCAAATATACAGGAAATAGACAAGAAATTTTAAAGAACAGTACAAGGAATGTCCATTTACCCCTGCCCCCAAACTGCACTGTAACGTATTGCAACATTTGCTTCCCCCCACTACTCAGAATGTGTGCATTGTAGTAGCTGCGTCATTTGAAAACTGCGGACATCGTGACATTTCACCTTTACATTTCAGCACCCATCTTCTAAGTATAAGCATAACCTCCTACCTGTCGTCAACGCCATTCCCACACGTAAGAAAATGTAGTCTCAGGCCCTAAAAGCCTCTAACATCCACACTAAGGGTTCCTTTCCCCCACTTCAGTCTTGAAACCAGTTCCCTTCTTGGACTGGGACTTTGTGTAGACAACTGTTCCCTCCCTCTCTACTGTGTTCCCCAACGCAGACCGCCAACACGTACAGGGATCACCTGATCCCAGGGCCTCTCAGTCCCTGAGAGCTTGGCAGGGTAGCGGGGGCCAGGGAGTCCCGACAAGTCTGGACTCAAATGCTTGGGGAGAGCACTACACTCAGGCAGTCCTCCCCCCTCTGGAGTCCTCCCCAAACAATTTCAGAGATTTCCGGGAAGATCAGGGCTAGGGTCTTTGCTCAGCCACCTTACTCCCTCCTGGCAGCTCAAATGCCACGACGAGGGCACCGGTGGACGAGTATGTGGGTCTCTGGGTGAGTGCTGCACTACCTTGTGCCCTTGGCTTTGCCGTTTTCCATTCTCTCTTCTTTCTCCTTGAACCCCAGCTATTCGGCTGTGGATCGGCTATTCTGGGCGCGGAGGACCCTTCTCGGTCCTTCTCAGCTGCAGGCCAAGGCAGTGGCGTCGAGCGCCTGCACAACCCCCCTTCCCTACAGCTCCCTCTCTTCCCCTCCTCCCTTCCCCTTTCCTCCCCCGGCCTGGGAGAAGCGGGGCGAAGAGCGGGCGGGGGCAGCTCTGGCTCCTTGTGGCCACGCCCCCGGAGCCGGCTTTTTCTAGGGCCGCTCCCTGAGCCTCTCCGCTGGCTGCCCCGCTCGCCTCCCTGGGTGCGCACAGCTCCAGCCTTTCGTTCTGCTCCGTCTCTGCCACTCTGCTCTCTCCGAGCTTCGGCTGAAGCCAGCCCTAGAGAGCACCCTCCACGCTTCCTCCCCGGCTCCCTCCCGGCTCTCCGGTCCCGGCTCTTGGTCCCTGTTGCTGGTCCCCAGCCCCTCGCGCCTCGCGTCCTCGCCGCCTTCTAAGTCCCTGCCCTGCTCTGCTCCTCACTCGAGCCCTAAGTCTCGCTATGTGTGCCCCCCGACCCCACCCTTCCTTCCTCCCTCTGTCTCTTGCTTGCTCGTTCGCTAGCTCTCAGACGCTGCAAGCAGCTTCGCAGGAAAATCCCAGAAACCTTTGCAAAAAGCTGACAATGAAATTTAAGAAGTTCTTCGATTTCGGCGCCATTTTCGAGTGGATCGAGAGGTGACACGCGATTTTTTTTAAGGGACTTGTTGGTTGGCGTTCCCCCCCACCCCAGTAACGTAGGTTACGGCAGAATGAAAAAAATCTGGTGACAATGATGAAAAAGTTTTCTGTTGCTTTGGGGTTGTAAAGCACGTTTGGGGACCTTGAAACTGCTTAGCACAGAAGTGCAGTCGGGAAAATTCTTAGGAAACGGGCTGGGAAAAGAGCTAACATTGACGGAAGGGAAGAGAAAACTGAGTAAGGGGCAGTAACCGATTGTCAGCTTCGCCAGGGTCGGGTGCGACTGGTTTTCACAGACTGTTAATGGACTTTTCATGACTCTTCTTTGCAAGCAGTAAACTATCTCTTGAAAATAAATGTGTGATTAATTTTTCATTGTCTTTTTACCAATTAAAACTTTTAAGGTTGTTTAATTTTCCCTGTAGGAAAGTTGACATTAGGAAAGTTTGGCACGAATGCGCCCAGGGAAGATACATCGTGTGTTTGGGATGAGGGAAAGAAAGCATCTGCACAATTAGGACAAAACGTTGTAAAATATGAACGGAGGAAGAGTTGTATTCTTTGGGTCTTACACAATTTGGCCAAACACAGTTCAGTTCGGAAGGGGGTGGGACAATGGGCAACTCGAAAGTATTGATTCTTTGTCTATTGTATCAGCCGCTGACCCTCTCCTAAAGTGACAAAATGCTTCTTTGTCATCTCTTTTCGTAAGTATATTTCAATCTAAGGGGGAATCTGTAAAATAGGATTGTGAGGTAGCTTTTTACGAATGTAAGTCGTTGTACTGTCACTGGAAAAGAAGAAAGGGGTTAAGTGGAGGGTACAAATGAATTCGATTCCAGTGAGCAGTTTCCAGAGCAATTGGAAGGGACCTTCGCCTTTGACACCATTGCTATTTGGAATGAACTTTTGTTTTTCTAAGTAGTCAACCAAGGAAATGTTAAATTAGGGATGACTTTAACATCTGATGTAATAGTTCACATATTTGTGTGGAACTTAAATATGTAAATGGGAGATGGTTGTGGAGTTTCAAAGTGTAATTGTACATTTGCTAAACATGTTTTGTTTTCTTTTTAAGGGCAACCAAGGACGTTTTTCTACATAAATCCCAAAAGCCAATTTAAAAGTTGTAAATGGCATAGCCAAACCAAGAAGGAATTTATATACACTTAATTGTATTCTCAATTTAGGGAGTAGAATTATTATTATTAATGACTTTGTTTACCATGAGAGAAATACTGTATTTGGCAACACTGGGTCTCAAACTAGTGTGATGAATTTTGCACTTAATCTCATTAAATACTGTGCACAGTATATTTACTAACAAATAGGACACAATATCACTTTGAAAAACCGATGTAACTTTTAAATGAACCAAAACACTAAGCAAAGTTGGCTACTTTAATTGTCTATTATTTCTGTTGAAATGTATTTTAACTTTCAAAGCCATTAATTAGACTTTGGTGCTGGTTTTGTTGTTTTAACTTTCAGGTTTGTGATTGAGGGTTACTGGGTAGTTTCTTCTGTGCTTAATTGACTATTTCGTTTAAACAGTGGGGGAGGATGTGTGTAACTTACTGCTAATGTGTGTCCATTTTAAAAAGGAAAAGTGGTATCTAACGAGTTAATCATTAAGGAATATGCACAGTGCCAGCCATTTCAGGACGTGAAACAGTTTGTGTGGAGCTGCTTAAGGAAGGAAGGAGTAATTTGACATGAAGTGTTTAAATGGTTTGATTGATGTTTTGATAGGTGACATTGAAAAGTATAAATTATTTATAGATAAGTTTGAGTGACCAGTTTCACATGTAAAGAGCCATCATTTCATCCAATGACAGTTACCTCTCATTCTCTGACACCTTTAAAAATAACTCAAGACAGGGTATTTGCTGTAAGAATGAAGCAGTGACATGTTAAAGGGGATTCTGATGCTTAGATGGAGGGCTCTGTATTCCCCAGCTATTCTGTATGTTAGAATCAGCTGAAGCTGCCAGAGTTGCTTTGGTGATCTCCTTTAAGTCAATAAATGAAAAGTCTTTTTTTTTTTGTCTTTTAAATGGGGATATTCAATGAGTCTTAGGATTTCTAATGAGCAGCAGGGGGAAATTTCACCAAGACTTCGAAGCTGGCAAGAGTAATCCAGATGTCAAACTGCCTCAGTTTATTTTATTATTACTTTCAGAGGTAAGATTATTTTACCACCCTAATTCCTATCTCCTGCCCCTCTTCTTTTCACCTGTACACTTTTCCAAGATTCATCCTCTGGGAAAAGAAATTGAGAGTCACACCCTCCACTCTACTATCAATCCAGGAAATCTAATGGTGAAGTTCTAAAAAGAACGTCTATTTGGAACGAAGTGTCTTCATCGCAAGTTTTGCTTTATTCCTGGCCAGTGGGTGGGGTAGGGTGGGGCTTCCTTTCAGTCACCGTGCCCTCTCAACCTGCAGGCATCCCACAGCAATCCACCTTCATTGACTCCGAGGGGATACAGCAGCAATTCATGTTTTGAAGTGCTTTACATTGTTCAAAACGTGAGGCGCTGCTATATCCCCTCGCGGGGAAGTTGGAAGGTGGGGTTCTGCTGGACGTGTGTTCCTGTAAGGCATCCACTCCCAAAGCCAACTCAGTAGCAGGTAGGTGGGTGAGTGGGAGGCATTGGTCTCTCTTTGTCTTCGTTCCTCACCCTTCTCCTCCCATGAGGCACCACCAGATTTGGGGAGAGGGCGCTCTGCTGGGGCTTGGGGGCTGGAGGGGTGGGGCGCGCCAGGACGGATGCGGTGCCCGCACTCAACCGTGCCCTAGCAGCGGGAACAGTACTGCAGTGGGTGATAGGTAATCTGGAGTATTGTTTCTGCTGCCCGGGCAAGGCTGGGACCCCCCGCACAAGTCCACCCACCAGGTAAGTCCTAGTGCAGCGCCTGTGGTGTCCGCCCCAGGAGGTGCGCAGTTGTCCTCCATCAAACATTTGCCGGTCTTTGAATATGTAAATAGGTATCAGTGAAAGGTGCTTCATTTTAGCACCCCATTCCTTGCCCAAGGAAAATTTAAGCGGTTGAAAAAAATCCCCTGCCTGATCACTTAGAATGCCGCCCACACGACAAAAATGAAGAAAGACTACCTCAGACCTCAACAACTAAATGGGATTGGGGGAATGGAAAAAGAGTAAGGGGGACAGCACGGGGTGACCCACTGCAAGCAGTCCCCAGGCCGTTCTGTTGTTCCTGGTACACGGCCTCATGTCCTGCACCTGGAAAGGATTTTGGAGTCTAAGAAAGATGAAAGTGTCTGTCCCCTTCCTCTCCCTTCCCTCTAGCTGTTTTTCGGGGGACTACCCTCGAGCTCAAGCAGCGGAGGATGCCGTGAGTTGAGGGTCCATGCAAGCTAGTGACTTCCAAGTGCCGTGGGAAGTGTCTGACCTGCCTGATCTGAGGCCTGCTGGGAGAGTGGGGACTTGAGAGGGTGGCCCCTGAATGAGGCCCTGAATTTGTAGCTGCTCTTGTGTTCTCTCCCAAAATGGTCCCAGAATTTCACTCTGAAAGCTGTGTCCCAAGGCTCACATAAGGACAAGGCACTCGCTTGACAGTTCTGGAGAAAATGGCAGCACCTCCGCCGTTGACTGAAGGGCCCATCAGCACCCCCAAAACTCTGGATACTGTTACTAATTAGTGCTGCACATCTGTCGACCTCTAACGACACCTCCTCTTCTCACTGGGGGTCCCAGTAGGCTAGGAGCTTGAAAGTTGGCCTAGGAAAGGGAGGGCTCATTCTCTGGCTGAGGGCACCCTTTGCCTGTGAAAATCCCTTAGAATCTAAGTCTTAGATATTTGTTTTTGACCTGGTGAACCGGGAGGTAAAGGACTGTTGGCAGACAAAGGGAGGTGTGTAACATTTCCACGCTTTATCTTCTCTTAAAAGAAACAAAACACAAACCCCCTCTGGTCTGGATGGGCTGCCTGGAACTGATCCCTCCGAGGGCCGGAGCGGGGGCCCCCAAAAGGGCTCCTGTCTAGGGAGGAGGAGGTTGCAGGGGCCTGGAACTGGGTGGGAGTTGGGATCAGCTGCCCGAAACTCCCGCTCTCCCAGACTCCTTTGCACCGAGGGCAGTCGCAGGACGGTTTGTGGCCCTTCTGTCCGCCGCGGACCCTCAGGCTCCCAGAAGCGCCAGGATCCAGACAACTTGGCCAAGCCCGGCTTCCCGCAGCGGCCATCGCCCCTCAGAGCCGCGATCCCCAGGCCGGGAAGCCCTGGAGTGGGCTCCCGCCCTCTCAGGCTGCCCCAAGTCCCCTCAGGCCCGCAATCCCCAGGCCTAGCCGGCGAACAGGTTCCCACCCCTGCACATGGAAGTGGGGAGGCATCTCGAGGCTGCCCTCCTGCCTCTCACCAGCTTCCCTTCTCCCTTTCTCCCTGCTCTATACCGGTCCCCCTCGAGCCAGAAGGAGACCCGGTGGCACCCAGCCCTCCGGGAGGACCTGGCCCGCGCCATCCAGCTCCTTCCAGTGGGCGCCTGCAGGACCCAGGTGAGAGACCCGGCGGGTTGGGGACTCAGAGGGGCTGAGGACGAGGACCAAGTGATCCTGACTAGGGGCGTTGCCTTCCAGAAGTTCAGCGGCCCTTTGCCCAGGCCGCCCCCGCAAGAGGCATCGAGATTGAGGGCGTCCAAACTGCCCTCTGACTGCGTGGTGCCCTTTTCTGACTTAAAATAGTCAGCTTGCACCATTATTCACAAGATCGAAGTTGCAGTGTGCCTAGATTTTCCTCCAAGGACAAAAATGTGAATAAAGCAATATTTCAGCCAAACATTTCTGTGTCAATTAAGAATATGGCAATTCGTTCCAGACTATAAATTCGCTTTAACAACTCTCTAAGGTAGTTTTTTAAATTGTTTTTCAACATTGCTAAATGTGCATCATAATGTGTGAGAGACTTATGTAAAGGGAGTCAATTTACAGTCACCTGATTAATTGATCCAATGTTACCATCTTCAGAGAGGCACCTTTCCATTGTTTTCTCAGTGTTTTTTCTCCCAACACATGTTATTTGTTAGTGAGAAAGCTAAGTACATACAGCATTGTGTTAACGTTTATTACACAGGTGTGGCGCTTAAACTAGGAAAAGCTTACTTTAGTTCTACGTTGAAAACTTGACACTTCTATAAGTTGTGGGACAAGATATACAGATTGCCTTTGTAAACTACAACATAATTTTTAATGTAATCATACGAATATTTTTAAGGCATCCAGCATCTGCAGTTAGCAGTACTGACTCTTTTTTTCCAACAAAGGAACACTACATCAACACTCTTGACTTGGATCTGGACACAGAAGACTCCTGTTTCAAGAAAATACAATGATTTCTCAAAGTCTATAATTTATATCCATTTTAACTTACTAGGTATTGAAAGCCACCCAATTGTCCCACAGAATGGAGTAAAATATAATCAGTCACTCAGTGTAATATTATACATCCTTTTAAAATGTTATTGGAAAATGTTTTATGGTCTGTACATCGAAATAACCCTCTCCTACCATTTCTCCCTGCTGCTCTCCCATACCCATGCTTCTTTGTTCCAACTGGCACGTAAACTTGTTTTTCCCGCCAAATGAGTCAGTCATGATGGGAACGTCAATTGATTTGAACAGATGTGTGTCAATGTTACTTGGAAAACTAGATGCCAATAACCAGGGCCACAAAAAAGGCAGTGGTTGCGACTCTGTAAAAATTTATGTGTGCATTCAGACAAGGACTAAAGTGGAACCCAAACAAAACAGGAAAACAGTTGGATATACTCCAGTGCTGGGAGATTGAATGACTGTATGCTGCTTTTCATTTCCGTTCATATGGGCAACTGTCCAATTAAAAAAAACCTAATAAGGACTCTGCAGTGCAAATTATTTTGTGGATTGTTTTAAAACACCATACCTGTCAAGTCGACGAGGCAGACGAGGCAGCAGGGAGCTGCATTTGTTCTGTTTCCCACCCCCCCCCCCATCCTGAACTACAGAGCTCAGGGCAACACTTGGAGAGTAGCTGATCCTACACAGGTGGGAGTTGGGAGTTAACTTCTAGGCAGCTTTCCTGAGAGAATGTGCAACATGAAAATTAAAATAGGTTCCAAAAGCATTTTTTGGAAGATTGATGAAAGATTATTGACAGGAATTAAAGGCTTGAGTCAGGTGATATATCCAAGTTGGCATACATTTTTAGAGCTCCATGTGCCCATTGGCCTGCAGTGTAACATCCCATAACCCTGGAACTTTATATTTGCATTCGTATTTAGAATGATTACATTACTCTTAATGGAAAAACAGTATATGTACACCAGTTATAGCAAATGTGTATCTCTCTGCCATGCTACACCTCACTCGTCCCCGCCTATTAGTTACTGATCAAAAAGTGAACAAAGATCTGCTAGCTCTTTCCTAATATTTCACCTATCTGCCAGCTTTGACTCCCTCCCCCTGCTCCACAATTGATCTCTTTGGCATGTTCAAAACAGCTTAGACCCCTGTGGGGATTGTAAATTTATCCATTAGGGAGAAGCCCGGAGAAGACTCCCATTTCCCTTGGTTGCTCAATGTGGAGCTCTATAAACTAAGCAGTGGTGGGAGTTCGGGAGGTGGCCCTGGGAGCTGAGAACCAAGGTAGTGAGAGTCTTGATTATTTTGAGGTGTGATTCTCCCAAGGCAGCTTCTTCACCTGTTCCCCATCCCTACACCTACCTCCTCCCTAGACCAGACTGGTATCCCAAGAGCAGACCTTTTAAAGGCCTGGCCACAAAAACCACAATAACGAAAATCATAATAATTCCAACATCTTGCTTTTACAAATGCTTCCATATTTTCTACTTGCGACAACCTCAAGAGATAAATAGGATAAGGCAGTCAAAATAAACAACTATAGACAAGAAAAGTGGGACTTCTGGAGTTTAAGGATTTGTTGTTTGAGGCCTCTACCTCCAGACCTTGTGTTGTAGGGACTGCACATTAGTGACTAGAGCAGCAAATGGAAGTGAATTAGTTTGGTTAGAAAAATTCAATGTGAAACTGATTAGTTTTATAACCGGTGTTTGCCTACACACTGTACACTTCCTGGGGGAGTCTCAAGTTTGGCCCCAGGATGACTAAGTAGTGACTATAAAATACCTAGCTGTGTACAAGTCCCCTCCCACCCCAAAGGCATGATTTAACTCCATTTAAAATCTCTAGCCCATATTTGGTACTTTCTATAGTTTCAACCAAATGGAATGTTCAACCATAAGGGTTAACTTACTCAATGGAAACTTTTTCAGTCATTGCAAATAATATTTATAAAGACTATATAGAAACCTGGAAAATGCTTATGATATCAAGTTTTAGAAATCAGGGACATAAAATCACATGGATACCACTATTGAAAAGTGGAAAGGACATGTAACAAGCATACTGGTTGCTTAAGTTGGTGGGATTTGAGCTGAAGTTTTTCTTTCTTTACTTTTTTATGTGTTTTTGTTATGCCATGTTTTTGTAACACTGTGAAACATAATTCTCTAAAAAGTCTTTAGGAGTCATGGGTGACATGGAAACCTTGGGTCAAGGATGCACAGACCTCAGACATCTCGGGGATCATCATGTCACGAGATACCACTGTGCACTTGTGACAGATTGATAACTGAAAGGTCTGGGAGCCACTTATCTTCATAGCAGAACAACTGGTAAGTATTACAAGACCAATCAAATGACAAGATCAGGAGAAAAATGGGCCCTAGCAAGGAAGAAAATGGCCGCCATGGTGGGAGGAGGGGAACACCAGTTATATTTTCATAGTTTAATGGGAGGTGGGGGAGGGTCACCATTTGTGTCCTTCACTATTATTTTAAGTTTCTTTTTAGTGAACTGAAACTTACATAAGGCATAGGATTTTATATTCATGCTAGAATGTTAAAACAAAGAGTTTATGCTCAGGCAAACAACAACTGAAAAAACATTAGCTATAAGTATTGCAGACACAGGGTCATCTTTAATATGTTGGGTTCATTTAAGTGGTCAAGAAAAAACATTAAAACTACATGAATAGAACATCACAGAAAAAGAATACATAAAAATGTTTATTTCAGTACTTTTAAGGATGGAAATTAGGAACATCCTGAATGACCAACAACAAAGGATTGGGTTAATAAAATGGGGTGCCTTTAATAAGTGACATGAGAATGTGCTCCTGGTGAAATATTTGGTAATTTTAAAAAAGGGGGTAGGATCGAGGGTGGGAGGTGGGGATGGATGGGGCAGGGGGGAGTGATGGGGGGAAAATGGAAACAACTGTACTTGAACAACAATAAAAATATAAAAATAAAGTGCAAAATTTTTGCACTGTTTCCATTAAGCAATCTAAGTATATAGGGAGCAATCTGTATGCAGCTTTGTTTCAATATACAGTCTGGGAGGAAATATACCAAAACTTTAATAGTGGTTATTTCTAAGTTGTGAAATATTAAGTGATCAAAGAGAGATGCTAAACTATTTTTGCGATATGTTCCTAATATGTAATATAAATGTATTGGGAACATTTTGCATTCATAGTTTTGTATCAATAATATGTGAAGACAGCTAGGAGGAAGTCTACATCAAAAGTCTATCAAAAGAAAGATGCTAAACTATTTTTGCGATGTGTTCCTAATATGCAGTATAAATATATTGGGAGCATTTTGCATGCATGGTTTTGTATCAATATACGGATAAAAGGCTGGAGGGAATAAACCAAAAATCTTATGATGTTTATTTGGGGGTTGTGATATCACAAAGTGATAAAAGTAAGGTACAAAATTATTTTTGCAATATGTTCCTGAATATGTAATATAAGTGTATTGGGGACATTTTGCATCCATAGTTTTGTATCAATATTTAGAAAAAAGGGTAGGAAGAAATATACCAAAATTTAATAGTTGTTGTTTCTGTGTTCTGGTATTATAGATGATATCTGGTTTTCTTTTTATACTTTTATGTATCTTCCAAGTAATATTGGTATAAACAACAAAATGTATTACTTTTATAGTGATAATAAAACTTATTTTATGTTTTAAAAGAGTTTTGTTTTGTTTTTTTAAATAAAAAGCATGGACCCCTGACCTGAGGACAGGGAGGTGGGTAAAGGCTTTCTGTTTAGGCAGCAATAGGCCTAGAATACATTTTCAAACCTGTCTGGGCAAACCCTACACAGCTTGGGTTGGCTCTGCAGTGCAAATCTGTGTTATCATTTGCTCTTGGCAAAGCAAAAAGAAAGTATAATTTAAAAATATAACTATGACAGAGTAATAATAGCAATATTTCTAAACAGACTTCTTGCTATCTCCTGTCCAATCAAAGTAACACTTTAAGAAGTACAGAGTTGAAACAGGCTTCTTTTCCTCTAGGAGCAATTTAGGACGGCAGGACTTGGATGCTTGCCCAGGGCCTCAAGACACAGTAGCCAGTTTGGGACATGCCTGAGTCAGGAAAACATCTTACCAAAAGTCTAATTCCATTTAGCTAACTTTCTACAGTTGCAGATGAAGCCCCCTGTCTTTTCCTACCTATTCTACTGAACTCCGTGACAACCCTGGTATTGGAGAATACATTTGACATCCAAATTTAGGCTTTCCATGTTCTGTTAAGAAAGACAACCATTTGAAAACATAGCAGGCCCACAGCCTGACAAGAC